AGAGAGAGAGAGAGAGAAATGGAATGTTTCAAATGCAATCTATCACATTTATACAACCAATGCAACCAATTAATTGAGATATTTATGAAAATGATGAGAGTTCATTTATTATGATTTAAATATTTATGGAAGATGACTACGATTTATTAATTATATTAGAAAACAATCAAAACTCTTATAAAATCACATATTCATTAAATTAAATGGACGATTAAGATTAAATTATATTGATTGTATAAATATAAAAGGTTGTATATATATATATATATATATATATATATAAAATATGTTAGGATACAAATGTTGTATTTTTTAATTTCCACGATTCTTTCACTTTTATCAATAAATCTTAAACATATAAATTATTAATTTAAAAGAATTGGTTAATATGAACAAGGTTAATATCATGGATGGTGTCAGGAGTCAGACCTCCAATATTACACAAAAATACCCATCTCCTTACCCGTCAAAGAATTGATTGAGGTTCTTGATACAGTAAAAACCACAACCACAAGTCCATTACAATTCATTTGACGATACGTTCGACTTTCTTTATGGTATTGGTTTTGCCTTGTTTTTGTCCTCAGGTTTTGAGATAACGGTCTCTCATAGACCCCCTACCCAAATGTAGACTAAACAATGACACTTTATTTACTTCCATGTTTGTTGCATTTAATGGACAAGTTGTTGTCATGTGTGAGAGTCATCTTGGGGACCCTACTGGTTTCCATAGTTGTCGGGCAAATCCATCGAGCCAGACATGACGTGCTAGATCGAGACTTGGTGTGGTCAAGCCTAAGAGGTCAATATCTGATAACCAACTTCGTAATTATGACCTAAAGTAAAGAGTTCTCAAGCTCCTAGAAATTGTGTTGGGAACCAATGTTAATAAAGGATTCAGTATGCTATTCAACAACTTATCGACCTTTGACGTATGTATAAGTGACTTGCCATTGCGTAAATGTATGCACACATTAAGGCCCCTGTCCTTTATGTCACCAAGCAGGATCATTTGAAGAGTTTCCGCTTCTAACAATTCAGTTCCAAATTACAAAATAAACAAGTATACGGGCTCGCATCCAAAGAAAGTTTCTGCTCTTAAAGTTTTTGTTCAAGACCTTTTCTATGCGTTATAATAAAGCTCGAATGTCGGTATACTTGGAGTACTTGGCCCTAGCTTTAACGTGTATAATAAAGCTTGAGTGTCGGTATACTTGGAGTACTTGGCCCTAGTTCTAACCCTTGGTCTAATGTGCTGAAAGTAAAGTAATGGGTCGTCATGACGTTAAATGTTTATAAAACCTATTGAATGTCTTTTCTATATAGAAAAAGACGTTTGTTATCTAAATTTGCCGACTATAATGTGCAATTATTTATTTGACCATTTCAACCACCTCTTTTGTCCATTACCGTTACTTTCAGGCTATTGGCTGTTTAGTTCTTGTCCCAATTAAAAGACGTTAAAGGTAAATTCGCCATTGTTCCAAAATTATAGTAAAAGATAATTTAAACATTAGTTATAATTATGTTAGAGTAAAGGATAATTTAAAACTAGCGTTTTTAAAATTGAGAAACACTTTTGTTTTTTATGAAACGATAGATGATTGTCATAGAACGGTTTTTATCAGTGTATTTTAAAAAAAAATAAACAAGTACACATGATTGTTCCAATAGATCCAAAATTAATTCTACAATGCATTCTTTCAGGTAATAAACAGACTATAACAATCGTATTCGACATTTTGTATTAAAATGAATATCATTGCTAAAGAATTCAACTGCAAAAATGAATATTTGAAATAATTGCATCTGATTTTACCATTTCAGAAGACCGATAAATTTAACAAAATTAAGTAACAATTCTGTATAATTATAACTCTTTTCCGACCCAACCCTCTCGACTTTGTAGGATGTAGTACTTGGTTGAGTTTTTGGCTTAACTCTCGGATTTATCGGCACATTTTTCAAGTTGGGTTACAGTGGGTAGTCGGCTTACCCTGTTTTTATGCAACCCTACTTGATATAGTAATTATATCTTGATACAAAATTAAATACTCTATCTATCCAAAAATTGTGATCACATTCAAGGCCAAATTTATACTTTGTAATTTTACGATTAATTATTATTCATTTTGTTGCAAAATAAGTATCTACACTTTACTATTTTAGTTTATCTTTAAATAAACGTCCACTTTCAAAAGTATACGTTTACTTTATGTTTCTACTAGGCATGGGAATGGGGCAGGGACCTCAATCCCCGTCCCCGATTACTTATCTCTATCCCCGTCCCCGTGCCCATCCCCGCCGGGTAATAACATCCCCATCCTCATCCTCAACGGGGAACGGGGATCCCCAATGGGGAAACAAGATTTTTTTTCCGTTTATGTAAGTTATTTTAAATTAAATATGTGAGAGACCATAAATGTTTAAATCTCAAACATTTTTAATAAACCTAAAACCAAAATGAATTTAATTTAATACAAAAAACCACAACATCATATAAGAATTAATAACCTAAAACTAAAAAAATTCAGTTTAATCCAAAAAAACTTAAAGTCACATTAGCAAAAGATATTGAGTAACTAGACCAAATTTCTTTTGTCCTCTTTTCAATAAATTATCGCTTGAAGAGGCTGCTGTTCTGGAAGCTTCCTTTACTGCGTTGGAAATAAAGGAGGCTACTTGGTCTTGTAATGGGTCAAAAGCTCTGGGGCCTGATGGCCTAAATTTTAACTTTATAAATAGTTTTTGGCCAGTGATTAGCAGCTCTGTGACTGATGCGGTTTTCCACTTTGAAAAAATTGGCAGAATTAATAGGGGATGTAATGCTTCTTTTATCGCTTAATTCCTAAAAAAATTGACCCTTCGGATATCTCGGACTATAGGCCCATCAGTTTGCTTGGTTGCATGTATAAAATAATCGCAAAACTCTTGGCCAACAGGTTGGTGAAGGTCATGAGTAAGCTTATTAGTGGCAATCAATCCGCCTACATCCTGGGTCGGCAAATGTTGGATGGATGCTTATTTGCTAATGAAGTTGTACACCTTGCTAAAAAGAAGAATATGAAATTATTTCTTTTCAAGGTGGATTTTGAAAAAGCCTATGATTCGGTTAATTGGAATTTTCTCTTTCACACTATGAAGCAAATGGGGCTTGGTGAAAAATGGATACAGTGGATTTGTGCGTGCTTGAAATCAGCTTCCACATCTGTTTTGGTTAATGGTACGCCTTCAAATGAGTTTTATATGGAAAGGGGTTTAAGACAAGGAGATCCTCTTTCTCCTTTCCTTTTTCTTCTTGTGGGGGAAGTCTTGCAGCTTATGATCAGTACTGCTTGTAATCAGGGTCTTTTCAAGGGTATCCGTCTTGCGAAGTCGAATCGGAATCTTTCTCTCCTTCAATTTGCGGATGATGCTTTAATATTTGGAAAATGGTCTCGTAAAAATTTAGTAACTCTTACTAATATTCTAAGTTGCTTTCATGATGTTTCAGGACTGCGTATAAATTTGTCCAAATGCAATCTTTTTGGTATTGGCTTTCCGGAAGCGGATGTCAAAAATATGGCAGACTTGTTAAATTGATATGAGTATTGGTCAAGGCAGAAAATTGAAATATCTCTATCCTAGACTTTTTGCTATGGAGAGGGATAAAAATGCTTTGTTCAAAGAAAGACGGAATTATATCAATGGAGCTTGGTGTGGAGCTTGGGACTGGAAATCGACAATCAGGAGAAGAAGCTCAGATGACCTTCAAGCCTTAGAAAGGTATCTTTCTCAAACGGCTTTCAATACTTCAGGTGAGGATGTGTGGTCGTGGAATTGGGACAAGAATGAGATTTTTTCGGTCAATTTAATGTCTAAAATTCTGCAAGGGGCTATCGATACAAATGTTAATAGCAATGATTTCTCCTTTTGGAGTCCGTTAATCCCGAAGAAAGTTAACATTTTCACTTGGCGGTTACTTGAAGAAGCCATCCCGGTTAGATTCAATCTTTTGAAGAGAGGGATTTCGGTACAATCTTTGGAGTATATTTTGTGTGGTAAAGGTGTTGAAACAATGGATCATTGCTTCTTTTCTTGTCCGGTGGCGAGCATTCTTTGGAGAAAAATTTGGGCCTGGTGGGATCTAAAAGCTCTGCATTTATCCTCATTGACTGATTTTAAATGGCTTGTCCATCATGTAGGAGCTCATCGCAAGGTTGGGATGATTTTCTTATCAGTGTGCGTTGTGGCTCTTTGGCAACTTTGAAGGTGGCAAAATGAAATTCTATATGCTAAGGACGTTTCGTCAATCAAGAAGAAAGACGAAGACCCATTCCCTTGTGTTCAGAACTTATCTAAATTATGGATGGGTAATTGGAACCGTAAGCTTCTTCTCAATTGGGATAATTGGTCTACCTCTCCTTATCTTATGTAGTATCTTGTTTTGTCGGGGTTGCCTCTGCCTTTTATTTGGGGCAGCTCGGTTTTTATTTTCTTTGTTCTTGTTGGTATGTTGGTTTCTTTGTATCTCCCGAGGTCTAGCTTCTTGCTGGATCTTGTCTTCTTAATAAATTGGTTGGCTTGGTGAGGGTGATGGCGATCCCGAAGCTCTCCTCCTTGTCCTTTCGTTTTTTGCCTTTCAAAAAAAAATCATATTGAGTAATATACAAAACTTAACGAATAATTGTATTTTGACTTAACATCCAAAATATTACATACTAACATCCAAAAAATAACAATTTTAGATTATAAACCTGGTTAAGAAATAGAAAATTATGAATTACCGCTTTAGCTGAAATAAATAATATATATATATATATATATATATATATATATATATATATAGGAGTGATCATATGAAAACCGCCCTCATTTGTGTAAATATTACATACTAACATCCAAAAAATAACAATTTTA